GCCCTGTCTCTTGAGATTATGGCTTGAGTTCTGACTCCAGGCCTGAAGACATTCTTTTTTTTTTTTTTTTTGAGACAGAGATTCACTCTTGTGAAACGCAGACTTGGGTGCAATGGCGTGATCTCGGCCCACTGCAACCTCCACTTTCCAGGTTCAAGCGATTCTCTTGCCTTGGCCTCCCAAGTAGCTGGGAATACATCACCACGCTCAGCTAATTTTTGTATTTTTAGTAGAGATGGGGTTTTGCCACGTTGGTCACACCGGTTTCAAACTCCTGACCTCAGGTAATCCTCCTGCCTCGGCCTCCCAAAGTGCTGGGATTATAGGCATGAGCCACCGTGCCCGGCCTGTAGTTGTTCTTTTTGACTTTTGTTGTAAATTGTGGTAAAATGCACATAACATCAAATGACTCATTTTCAAGTGCACAGTTTAGTGGTATTAAGTATCTGCATAGCGTTATGCAGATATCAGCACTATCTAGTTCCAGAGCTTTTCATCACCCCACATGGAAACCCTACACCTGTTAAACAGTCACTCCTCATTCCCTGCCCCCAGTCTCTGCAACCACTGATCTGCCTTCTCCTTCTATGGCTTTGCCTGTTTGGAACATTTCATGTAAATGGAACCATACAAGATGTGACCTTTTGTGACTGACTTAGCATAATGATTTTTTGTTTTTGTTTGTTTTGTTGTTCTGTTGCCCAGACTGGAGTGCAGTGGCTCGATCTCAGCTCACTGTAATCTTCGCCTCCCAGATTCAAGCAATTCTCATGCCTTAGCCCCTCAAGAAGCTGGAATTATAGGCATGCGCCACCAAACTTGGCTCATGTTTGCATTTTTAGTAGAGGCAGGGTTTTGCCATGTTGGCCAGGCTGGTCTCAAACTCCTGGTCTTAAGCAATCCACCCACCTTGGCCTTCCAAAGTGCTGGTATTACAGGCATGAACCACCATGCCCAGCTAGCATGTTTTGAGGTTCATTCATGTTGTAGTATGGATCAGTCCTTACTTCCTTTTTATAGCTAAATAATATTCCATTTCATGGATCTTCCACATTTTGTTTCCCTGCTGGTGCTGCTTTGCACCTTTACCCAAATGCAAAACTTGGCCGCTTCTTCCATTTCCACAACGACCCCTGCTCACAGTTTCCTCATGGGTATAATGATACTTCACTGTATCCTGTGAGGGTTAAATAGTAATACACAACAGGTAAAGTGACCAAAAGCACCTAGCAACTAGTGCTCAGTAATACATTATTAATTATTATATCATCATGATAGTCATTATGCAATCATTATGATCACATAAATCCCTTCTAACCTCTTGTTTTCTGTTGTATCTATTCATTTGTTTCACAAAATATCTTTTTTTTCTTTTTTTGAGACTGACTCACTCTATTGCCCAGGCTGGAGTGCAATGGCGTGGTCTCAGCTCACTGCAACCTCTGTCTCCTGGGTTCAAACAATTCTCGTGCCTCAGCCTCCCAAGTAGCCGGGACCACAGGTGCCTATCACCATGCCCAGCTAATTTTTGTATTTTTAGTAGAGACAGGATTTCACCATGTTGGTTAGACTGGTCTCGAACTCCTGACCTCAGGTGATCTGCCCGTCTCGGCCTCTCAAAGTGCTGGGATTACAGGCGTGAACCACCTCGCCCAGCCCACAAAATATCTTAAATGCAATCAGGGTTGGATAGCCGCAGAGAGAGATGTCTGGATTAGGTACTTGCAAGGATTATGTTGAGTTGCATACTCCTTTGGCTCTCAATCTGGGGCCATGAAGCCATGATATCTCTATTATACGGTTACAGCAAGGAGTTCATAAACCACATCTGCAGCAAGCATTTTCCAGTACTCAGCGGCTACCCTTTCTCTCCCACAGTGTATACAGACACTATTGTTTCTCAAATGTGTGCCACCTCTGTTGAGAATGAATAAAAGATAAGTCATATAAAAGCCTTTTATCATCATGTGTCTTCTCAGTCTAACCAATACTCAAGATACCACTTTTCTCATGGGGAGATCATATTTGAGAAGATTAGAAACCACTAGCTCACAGCAACGCTAAAAGAAACTAAAACAATTTAACTCAGTATGGAAATCAAATGATGAACAAGAGTTTATTGAACACCTACTACAAGTTTGGTACTGTTTTAAGCACCATGGTGGGGGAGTGTGGATATGAATATGCAGAAGATAGTTTCTGTCCTGCACACTCTGTAGCTGGGAAAAGCAGCTATAGGCCAGTGCAGTAGTCAAGAATGTGTCAGCATAAGATCAAGTGTTGAATTAGTCCTATGGATAATATATGAAATTAACGTGGGCTGAAGTCATCGGGAAAGGCTCCAAGGAAGAGTCTGGCTTGAAGAATAGGCACGTTTTTAAAGGGGTGGGGAGCTCCACGTAGGTAGAGACAGGAATGACCGGAATGACCAAGGAATCTTAGAGTACAGATATTGGCCCGCCTGGAGTCAAGGGTTTGATTTGGAAGACATGGTCAATTTCCATGGGTAGTACATCAGAGGACAGAGTCCTAGAGTTGCAAGGATGACTGATAGGCAGCCAAAAGCCATTGAGGTTTTAGAGCGAAGGAGGGTTGAAGGAAGGCCATGTCCCAAAATGCTCAGCCTGGCTGAGGCAGGAGAGCCTGTGTTCAGGGGACTTCGGTATGTTCATTGCAGGCTACAGTCATTGAAGAGACCCCATAAGGGATGGAATAGGAGTCTCTACTCAGACTGATGTCTTACGACAGCACCTGCATGTCTTTGCCCTCTATACCAACCATCTTTTCCCCCAGACATGCACATGTGAATTGTCCAGACAAAGGCTACGGACCTTTGTCCAACTGTCAGAACTTTTTGGATTATTTCCAGGTTCAAGAAAAGGCATATGCCCTCTGAGAATAGACAAATGGATAGGAACTTTTTTTGGCGGGGAGGCTTTCTGAAAGAGGAACTTATGGAGAAGAATGTATTTTATTTGGGGCTTTTCAGTTAAGACCAGAAAACCTGCTAGACAAATTCTAAAAGACTTGTAACACTGGGTGGGGAATTTAACAAGCTGGCTTACTAGATGTCTTCCCACCCTCAGCAGTCCTTAAAGCAATAGCCCTTCAGGGGGAAAGTCCACGCTGGCCACGCCTTCCTCCCTCTCTTGCAGAGGGCAAAGGGCGGAAGACCAAGAGGCTGAGGTGTTTAGAGAAGCCTGGGAAATGGGTGGATTCTCCCTGCAGGGTGTAGCCTCTGAGCTGTAGAGTGGCAGTCACCCTGGAAGATGGAGCCATCCCCACCCTCGCTGTGCACATTTACTGGGACTCTGACAAGGACAGTGGAGAGGGAACAGCCAAGGCGCCACAGGATGTCTTAGGCATCCTCTTCAGTGTCTTCTTCTTCCCATGTGTCCTGGAGAACATACCGGTGATCAAACAGGGTCAGAGGGGAGCAGATCATGCACCGCGTGGCCACCAGTGGACTTCCTGACATCAACAAGCTCCTGCCAGTGGCTCTTAGTTTGCTAACTAGGACAGGGCTCCCCCAGAGCCATGGCAGGAGGCAGAGTGTCCCTACCCTTCATGAGCAAACCCTGCCCAACCCTCAGGAACTCCCTGTTGTTTTCAGCCCAGATGAGGAATGATGCTTATGGCCAAAGTAATGCAGGAGGCTGGGAGAAGGTTTTAAACACTCACAGAGGGCTGTGCACAGTGGCTCACACCTGTAATCCAGCTCTTTGGGAGGCTGAGGTGGGTGGATCACCTGAGGTCGGGAGTCGAGACCAACCTGACCAAAACAGTGAAATCTCGTCTCTAGCAAAAACACAAAATTAGCCAGGAGTGGTGGCACATGCCTGTAATCCCAGGTACTTGGAAGGCTGAGGCAGGAGAATCGCTTGAACCCAGGAGGTGGAGGTTGCAGTGAGCTGAGATCACGCCACTGCATTCCAGCCTGGGCAACAAGAGCGACACTCTGCCTCAAAAAGTAAAAATAAAAATAAATAAAAAATAAAAACAGAAGACGTAGCTTGGGGAGCAGTGGCATCTAAAACAAAAGAACCGAGCATATGAAGACACTGTCACTGTCATTCAACAGGATCCCTCACCACTTTTTCTGGTTGAGGTCCAGGGAGAGTAAGCGGTCCTCACGGAGACCCATGACTGCGATGGGAGCCAGTTTACTTCCTCATCTGTGGGCTTTCCGCTGTAAGAACCTGATGCAATTTTGGACCCAGTCTGGAACAAGACCTTTTTCTCCCTGTGACGGTACAATGAAAGTGCGCTCAGGCAGTGAGGAGAGAGGAGGGGCTACTAGGGGACATGTTTCTGCAGCCACCAGCCAGATACCTACACAATCAGATGTTTCCTCCTCCTTCAGGGCCCGGCTTGTGCACCTCAATAGAGGTGGACAGAATGACTGTCCCATTATTGTGTCAGTGGATTGTAAGTAGGATGCATAGAGGTCTTGGCTTGTCTGAGACCATTCCAGGTTATATCTGTTGTCCCAGAGTAATTACTAATAATGACTCTTTTTATTCTTTTCTTTTTAAAATTTTTACTTTTAATTTTTGTGGGTACATACATAGTAGATGATCCCTTTCCTTCTCTCTTTTTTTTTTTTTTTTTTTGAGACAGTCTCACTCTGTTGCTCTGGCTGGAGTGCAGTGGCCTGATCTTGGCTCACCGCAAACTCCGCCTCTAGGGTTTAAGTGATTCTCCTGCCTCAGCCTCCCAAGAAGCTGGGATAACAGGCACCTGCCACCATGCTTGGCTAATTTTTGTATTTTTAGTAGAGACGAGATTTCACCATGTTGGCCAGGCTAGTCCTGAACTCCTGACCTCAGGTAATCTGCTTGCCTTGGCCTCCCAAAGTGCAAGGGTTACAGACATGAGCAACTATACCTGGCCACTGTCTGGCCACCCCTTTCATTCTTAAAAGTCTTAGTTTGGACAACAAATTGCTTGGTCACCCTAGTTTATAAGGTGACAGACTTACATAAAGCAGGCAAAGTCACTTAAGCAAAGAGAGGGTTTTATTGCCAGAACCACGGGAAAGTCGGACACGGTGAGAACCTGAGATTCCCCCAGGGGCCCTCACTGTCTCTCCTGCTTCTTTCTGCTCTGTGGTTCTGGTTGCCTTTTCTCTCTGCACAGTCACCATTTTCTTCCTGACGGAGCAGCCACCTGCTCCTGAGTTGGACATTTGGCAGTTTTCATGATCAGAAGAACCGTGACTTTCTCAGTTGGGAGCCCCCTGAAAACACCCAGGCAGGAACTTACTGTCCCATGGTGGGCAGGAGGGCAAGGTGGTTCCAGAACCTTGCAGCTCTCTAGAGAAGCGTGACGAGAAGAGAGGAAGAGGCAGCTTTTAGAAGGGGCGAGTGGTGTGGAATGGCAATTCCTTCAGTGTCCAGTACAATCAGCATCAAGTATTTATCGAGTGGGCCCTGTGGCGTTGATCTAACCACTTGCTTGTTAAATGTGTACTGGAGCGATGTCATATTCCCCATTAGTCTCCACAGAGAGATGCCATTCATCCTGGGGACAGAGCTGGCCTTGGAATAGAAGGAGGAGAAACTTCTTGCTTCGGAGGGCAGGGTCCCTCAGGAAAGATAGATGCTGCTTTCCAGAATGGATGTGCATTCAGGCTGGCAGCCCCCTGTGGGTGACTGTGGGTGTGTGCACGTGTCTATGTTCCCAGGATCTGAAATGGCTCAGGGCCAACAGACCGAGGCACCTGGAGTTGAGGTCACTGTGGCCTGCAGCAACCCCTGCTTAGGGGGACCTATGGAAAAGGGGCTTCTTCTCCCCTCCCTGACCACAGCCTGCATCTCTGTCTGAGAAGCACTTTCTTCCTTGGACAAGCTCTGCTCCAGTCTCCAAGGTCTCACCAGAGGCACTGCTGACATCAACAGCAATAAAACAGTAGAGAACAAGACACTGAGGGGACTCAATGGCACCTCTGATTTTTTTCTCTCCAATAGGCATAAGCTCTAGAACTATCCTAGTGACTGAATAGAACCCTGTGGTTGTGGAACTTACCATGGAAGACTGAGGTGCTCCAGAAGGAAAGAAAAGTATCCTTATAATAGTGGGGTGGGAGCTCTGAATCACATTCAAACTGTCTATGGCATAACCCCCAGGGAGGTGGAGCAAAACATGAGGCTCTACATCATTATTTATTTCCCTTTTCACATATGTTTTACTGTAAATTCCATGAGGTCAGGGTCCCTGTTTTCTAATTCCTTGGAGCCCTAAAACTGGACAAAGCACTATGCAATTATACTGACTTCTCTGCATTTACTTGCAATTTCCAACAGGGTTCGCTTCTCCCTGGTTTCCAGCTCACTTTCTCTGCCTGGAACACCTTCCTCTGACCCTTTGCCTGCCCAGCTCCTCCTCCTCCTGGGAGACTCCCCTCAGCTGTCACCTCCCCAGGATGCCTGCTCTGACCCCCTGCTGGGCTGGAGGCTCCATCCCTGGGCTGTCTGCTTGTGGCTGGCTATAGAGCTGTCTTCCACATCAGACAGGGGGCTTCTGTAGGGCAACACAATTGGTGACAATTGCTGGCACACAATAGGTGACCAATAATTATTTTTTTGAATGGACAAAGATGATTTGTAAGCAGTGTCTGATTCTAGATGCAGAGAAGATGAATAAGACATTGGTTGAGTACTTTGAACTTTCTGGGAGCTTACTTTTTTAGTCTGTGGAGACCAGGGAAAAAGCCCAGCTGACATCAATCTTGTGGCAAACTTTTAGACTCTGTTCACTTCTGACTTTCAAAGGTGGGTCCCGTGAACTGCAGCCACCTGCAGGTGCAGCCCTGATTTGGACCCTGGGGTCAGTCCTGACCTTGTTCTGGGGGAATTTAGAGAAGTCTACAGCCTAGGCAACATGGCGAAACCCTGTCTCTACCAAAAATACAAAAGATTAGCCAGGTGTGGTGGTATGCACCTGTGGCTTCAGCTACTTGGGAGGCTGAGGCAGCAGAATGGCTTGAGCCTGGGAGATCGAGGTTGCAGTGAGCTGAGATCGAGCCACTGCACTCTAGCTTGGGTGACAGAGTGAAACCCTGTCTCAAAATTAATGTTCAAATTTAATTTTAAAATAAAACATAAAAAGTATTTATTGAGGCCGGGCACGGTGGCTCAAGCCTGTAATCCCAGCACTTTGGGAGGCCGAGGCGGGTGGATCACGAGGTCAAGAGATCGAGGCCATCCTGGTCAACATGGTGAAACCCTGTCTCTACTAAAAATACAAAAAATTAGCTGGGCATGGTGGTGCGTGCCTGTAATCCCAGCGACTCGGGAGGCTGAGGCAGGAGAATTGCCTGAACCCAGGAGGCGGAGGTTGCGGTGAGCCGAGTTTGCGCCATTGCACTCCAGCCTGGGTAACAAGAGCAAAACTCTCTCCAAAAAAAAAAAAAAGTATTTATTGAGTGTCTAGCCCTCAAAGCTCACCTGATCTGATGGGGGATCTGAACAGGTACAAAATACGGTCAGCCCTCTCTAGCTGTGGTTTCCACCTCTGTGGAGCCAACCAACCATGGATCAAAAATATTTGGAAAAAAAATGAAAGGCTGTGTCTGTACTGAACATGGACAGGCTTTTTATCTTGTCATTATTCCCTAAACAACACATTATTCCCTATAACAACTGTCTATATAGCATGCACATTGCATTTGGTATTATAAGTAATCTAGAAATGACTTAAAGTATACAGGATGATATGCATAGGCCACATACAAATATTACAGCATATTTTGTAAGGCAACAGTCCCCAACCTTTTTGGCACCAGGAACTAGTTTCATAGAAGACAATATTTCCACAGACCAGGCAGGGTCGGGGACAGTTTGGGGATAAATGAAGTGCATTATACTTATTGTGCACTTTATTTCTATTATTATTACATTGAAATATGTAATGAAATAATTATACAACCCATCACAATGTAGAATCAGTGGGAGCCCTGAGCTTGTTTTCCTGCAACTAGACAGTTCCAGTTTGGGGTGATGGGAGACAGGGACAGATCATCAGCCATTAGATTCTCATAAGTAGCCTGCAACCTAGCTCTCTCACATGTGCAGTTCACAGTAGGGTTCATGCTCCTCTGAGAATCTAATGCTGCCACTGGGGCTGACAGAAGGCAGAGCTCAGGTGATGGGAGTGGTTATAAACATATACTGCTTGCTGCTCACCTCCTGTTGTGTGGCCCAGTTCCCAACAGGCCATAAACTTGTATCAGTACCAGTCCATGGCATAGGGGTTGGGGACCCCTGTTATAAGGGACTTGAGCAGGGCTGGGCACAGTGGCTCATGCCTGTAATCCTGGAACTTTGGGAAGCCAAGGTGGTAGATCACCGGAGGTCAGGAGTTTGAGACCAGCCTAGGCAACATGGTGAAACCTCATCTCTACTAAAAATACAAAATTAGCCAGGCACGGTGGTACACGCCTGTGATCCCAGCTACTTGGGAGGCTGAGGCAGGAGAATCGCTTGAACCTAGGGGTGGAGGTTGTAGTGAGCTGAGATCGCGCCAGAGACTATGCTAAGCAATGGGGACACAGAAAGAACAACAGAGAAATTCCCTACTTTCTGAAGGAGGAAGACCACCAGCAGCAAAGAAGAAAATACATACATGAACAAGATCATTTTGGAGAGTGTTCTATGCTATCAAGACATTAAAGCAGAGAATGGAGATGAGATGGGGGTGGGGTGGATAGAGGGAAGCTACGTTAGATTGGGGGTCATGGAAGTGACTCCAAGAAGTGACAGCGGAGCTGAACCCTGAATGATGCTTTAGCAATGAGCCATGGATGATCTGGAGGCCCCAAGGTGGAAACACAGCACTTTGGGAGGCTGAGGCAGAGGCAGGCAGATCACGAGGTCAGGAGTTCAAGACTCACTCTTATTTGGATCTTTCTCTCTTTATTTTTTTATTTTTATTTTTTTTTGAGATGGAGTCTCTGTCTGTTGCCCAGCCTGGAGTGCAGTGGCAACAGAATGAGGCTCGGTCTCAAAAAAAAAAAAAAAAAGAGGAGAGAGAGAGAATGCCATTAGTCTTAAGAAATAATTAGAAAATATTAAGAGGTAAACGGAAGTGTGAAAGGCTAACCCCTCAAATGATTCTAAAAATGTAAAGAGTACAGATATGGGCGAACACAGAAAAACAATGATTTTTTAAATGTAGTTACAATGTTAGAAATTTTAGAAATTTGGGTAAAGGATATATGAACATTTTAAGTATTGTTTAAAAATTTTTTATGGTTTGAAATTATTGTGAGAAGTTTTTCTAAGCATATAATTAAAAGACTTTACAAACTCAGACTGTTCTTCATCCAATTAGACTGAATTAGTTAACAAATGGCTCTCATTTGTTGAGTAGTACCCTGGGAGCCTGTGAAAACTTCTATGATACTCACCTAGTCCCTCTGGGTGATGCCAGAAACATCTGCTGTATGATTCTATGGAGATTTCTAACTTCTATAAATTTGAGGGAGTATGTTTGGGAAGAAAAGCAGAAGTTTCCTCCTACTTAAGTCTAGAATGAAATAGGATTCACAGTCTTTATTTTTCAGAGCTAATCAAGCGGCAATGTCAATGGGGGAAATCCAGGTCAACTTTAATTCCCATCATGACTAAGTGGCACCAAGACTCAGAATACAATGACCTAGAACTGACCTCGGGGAGAAATCACAGTCAAATCAGGATTGCTAACTTCCAGGATTCTTGGTAAGGTTGACTCAGCAATTCATAAATCTCAACATTTACAATAAACACACACCTACGTCACATGTCTTTTACTCTCAAATAGGTAGTATAGTATCAAGCTTTTCTCAGGACTACATATAGTGTTTTCATATTCTTTTCTTTTT